GTTAGGATCGGACAATATTTGGCTGAGATACAACTATTTGAAAATCTGGAATCTGAGGGTGCAAAAAATCTAAATATTGAGAAAATCATCTTTAAAGTTGTCCAAATGAAGTTCTTAGCAATGCATATTACTAATCAAAAATGAAGTTTTGATATATTTACAGTAGGAAATTTACAAAATATCTTCATGGAATATGATCTTTACTTAATATCCTAATGATTTTTGGCATATAATTTTGACCCATACAATGTATTGTTGGCTATTGCTACAAATATACCCCAGCGACTTAAGACTGCTTTTGTGCTGCAGGGTCACATGTGACAAAATAACACAGCCCAGATTTTGAGGTGAGAATAGAAATGTGTTGGAATAAAAGACCAGGTGTGACTGACAACCAGAGTGAGACGAGAAATAAACATTTATATCAATATTCATAATAAATCTATGTATCTATATATAAAAGGTATAGAAACATTTAATTGCTAGTACTACTATTATGAACTGAATTGCATTTAGTTTTATATTTTCCATTTTTACTTTAATTATGATAATCGTATGCATTTTTGTAATGTATTTTTTCTTTAATGCAGCTTTATTTTTATTGCAGTTTTACTCATTTTTGTACTTTGTCACATCTCAGCTCTGTTGAAGTACGTGTATGTGTTTCTGAGTGTGTCTGTGGCCTGCACTCAAGCCAGCAGAGATCCTGATTGGTCTCGTCCTTGTTCCAGTGAAAAGGACCTCCCCCCAAACACTCTAGAAAGCCGAATGCGTGCCATTTGTTTGGCTCGTTCTTGGGTTCTTCTATATATACTGTTTGTTCTATGTTTTGAGTTAAGGGAGGTGGGGAAGCTGTGTTGTATTTTTTTTATGTTTTATTTTGGTTAGAGAATTTAGAGGGTATACTAAAATTAGTTATTTTTTTGTTTGTTATTTTGGCCTTGTCCACTCCTGAATTTGTAATCGTATGCATTTTTGTAATGTATTTTTTCTTTAATGCAGCTTTATTTTTATTGCAGTTTTACTCATTTTTGTACTTTGTCACATCTCAGCTCTGTTGAAGTACGTGTATGTGTTTCTGAGTGTGTCTGTGGCCTGCACTCAAGCCAGCAGAGATCCTGATTGGTCTCGTCCTTGTTCCAGTGAAAAGGACCTCCCCCCAAACACTCTAGAAAGCCGAATGCGTGCCATTTGTTTGGCTCGTTCTTGGGTTCTTCTATATATACTGTTTGTTCTATGTTTTGAGTTAAGGGAGGTGGGGAAGCTGTGTTGTATTTCTTTTATGTTTTATTTTGGTTAGAGAATTTAAAGGGTATACTAAAATTTGTTATTTTTGTTTGTTATTTTGGCCTTGTCCACTCCCCTTTGTTACTCATTTTCATTATAAGTTTGTTAATAAATCTATTCTTTGTTTGATACTATCTTGAGAGTGAGCGCACGTTTCATTTATGTTATGGCTGGCCCTAGACGCTCGTAACAACTTCAGCTTATTTTCAGTTAGTTGCCAGGGCAACATTTCAA